CATGCCCAGCCTCCCTGGGGGGTGATTTCTCGCTTTCTGTCTCTCTGTCTCTCTCTGTGTCTTTCTGGTGAGCGCATGTGCCCTATAACAACAACAACAACAACATCTCTTCCAAAAAAAAGAAAAAGAAAAAATGTTTGTTTATCCCTATTTTCATTTAACTAGAAAAATTTACTACAAAATGTACTTGCCAGAGAGAGACAGAAAAACAGAGAAAATAAGAAAAGAACCCCCAGGAGGCAAGGGCATGTAGACATCTTTTCTTCTCCATTCTCTTCTCAGGATTCTGAGCACACACACACACACACACACACACACACACACACGTACATACATGCACACACAAAGAACACACACCTGGAGTACTTTTCAAGTCTCTAGGCCCAGGTCTCAAACCGTGCAGTCACAGGTAAGAGGTAACCACCTTAACCACCATGACACCTGCTGGCCCTCATTTTATTCTTGATGCTACACATATCTTTTTCCTATAAGAAAAAGCCTTAATTTCTAGCAGCGCTAATGTAAGAAATTGTTTATTTTATCCTAGATAAAAAGAAATATACAGGTGTGTTTCGTTTTGTTTTGCTATAGGATTTGTGCAGTTACTGGATAGAGAAAGAGAAAGTGAAAAATCACCCACCTGAGGGATGACCACACTACAATCCCATCTCCTCCATTCTCCTCTCAGGATTTTGGACAGGAATGCACATGCATTCGGCGTGTTTGTCAAGCTGCCGGGTTGGGACTCGAACTGTGGTCAGCCATATGGAATCCAGCTGCCTTAACTATCATGCCACCAGCTGGCCACAAATATATAGAACTTTTTAACTTTTTTTTTTTTTTTTTTTTTTTTTTTTTTTTTTTTTTGCTACAGGGCATGTGTGCTCACTGGAGAGACAGAGACAAAAAGCAAATAATCACCCCCCCCCAAGGGGGATAACCAAACTGCAATCCCTTCTCCTCCTTTCTCCTCTTGGAATTTTCGTCAGGCATGCACATGCATCTGGTGTGAGTTTCAAGCCTCTAGTTCTGGGATTTGGACCACAGTTGACCATGCGGGCATCCTGTGATGTAGCCATTACGCCATCAGCTGTTCTATTGTTTCTTAAAAGTTTATTTGGGACCAGAGATGGCATAAAGATTACATTACTGGGGGGACCAGCAAATGGTCACTAGACTCCCATGTAGTCGACTGTGGTTCAAGTCCCAGACCCAGCAGCTTAAAATTCATGCTGAGTGTGTGTGTGTGTGTGTGTGTGTGTGTGTGTGTGTGCCCAAGATTCCAAGAGGAGAGTGGAGGATAGGGAGGATAAGGGATTGCGGCATGGCCATCCTCGCTGGAGTGGGGGAGGGTGATTTCTCACTTTTTGTCTCTCTGTCTGTCTGATTTGAGATCAGACCTGGGGGCCTGAACTTCACACCAGGTGTGAATTACTCCTTTGGGGAGTGATTTGTAACTTTCCTTCTCTCTGTCTCTACAATGAGCACAACCTATAGCAAAAATCTCTCTTAAAAAAGAAAGTTGTTTTATTCCATGAGTGATGAAGAAAGAAAGAAAGAGAGCACCCCAACAAGCTCTTGATGCCACAATGCACTCCTGGCTTCACCCAGCCCCACTTGTAGGCATGTATGAGCCCTGCACACTCAGGGAGGTCTCTCTCAGAGTCACTCAGGAACCTTCCCACGTAGGACAGTCTTACAGGGCATCACGTTTTACCACTGTGCCACCATTTGACCCCAAATACACAGTTTTGAAGGGGCTAGCAAGTAGCTTGGTGGTTAAGGCACTGGACTCCCCCACGGCAGACTGCAGTTGGAGTCCCAGATATAGTGGCTTTCTTTCTCATTTTCTCTCTATTTCTCTCTTTCTTTCTCGGGAGAGTCCACGTGTCCTATAACAGACTAAAAAAACAATAACTAAAATTGAAAAAAATAACTCTCAAAGTACTATCAGAATTATTTACAGCAACAATAAACACAGAGTATAAATTTTTGTTTAGTTTAGTTTTATTTTTTTTATCAGTGATTTTTGCCATTGGGCATGTATGCTTGCTGGAGAGACAGAGAAAAACAGAAAGACAAAAAGTGAGAAATTAACCCCAGGGGATAGCTACTCTGAAATCCTTCTTCTCCATTTTCCTCTCAGGATGCAGGGCACACACACAGACAAGCCCAACATAAGTTTTAAGCTACTGGGTCAGGGACTTGAACCATGGTTGACACATAGGAGTCTGGTGATGTAACCATTATGCCATCTTCTGGTCCCCAGTATGAAATTTCTTTGCAAAT